AGAGCTAATTTATTACAAATAGATAGTTAGTCACAAAAAAAACATTCACTGATGTTAGCTCGCTTACATATCACAGAGATCATTTCGATTAATAAATTGAGCAACAAATAATTTACCAGAGGACCAATGTTGACCGTAAACAGCATTAAAGTTGAGATATTTTCCAAGATGAACTAGAAGCAAACAAATTTAGCTTTTAATCAACACCAATCATCACCGAAACACATCTTACGAAGAAAGCTTTCTCGAGAATCAGAAAGTCGCCTATTTTGACACCGTTATATGGTCCAGCAACTCGATCCATGATCTCCATAACCTGCGGGGAAAGTCAAAATCTTTTAATAACATTTCTATATCCATAAATTCATATCCAATTTAGTAAAATTAAACTTTTTTAAATAAACTGTTATAAATTAAACGTTACCTTGCGCATTGTATTCACTGAAAATTTACTAATAATCGTTAGATTGTGCAGTCTAATGGTTAACTTGTCAAGCTGTTAATAAAAATACAAGCAAAAATAAACATGAGATGAATGCAAATGATAGTTGATTACCTCTGTGATTAAATTGCCGTGATTAAAACAAGACCAAAGATACCAATCAACGGAAGGATAAAAATTCCGACAGTTGCAAGTACTAATAATTCGCAAAAAAATTATTGTAAACTTTTACAACGGTTCCAAGGAAAATGTATATATCACCTGCTAAGGAGAAGACAAAAACATAACTGAAAACAACATATCGTAACTTGAAAGCAGCCATTGTAAGCACGAACAATAAGCCCAAGGAAAATGTTTCCATCGCCTACTAATGAGTACACAAAAGCGTAACACAAAAAGACATATCGTAACTTGGACGCAGCCAACTCAAAGCTATTGAGACGACGGATAATCAGTAAGCAAAACGATTGAATATCCTTTTCAGTGTACATCATGTTATTAGTTTGGTTCAATAAGAAGCCAGCCAAATCAAGTAAGCGGTAAGCTAGCGGTCATGAAACTTATATGCTAATGTATGTTTTTTCTCTTTTTTTAGAAACCATTCAAAATCAACGGAAACCAGATTTCCTTTAGCTTCAATGACCGGGAGATTGAGCAAAAAGATGTCAACATTACACCTTTATCCTTGGACATTGGCAATGGTGTTGATGTTTTTGTTGACATTGTTTGGACTGATGATTCGCTAGCGGATATTGAATGTCCCATCTGCCTCTCCACCATCACTGAAAGATGTTACAATTTTCCCTGCAATCATCTTCTTTGTATCAATTGTAGCTTGAAATGGTTCTTTGACACAACTGTCAGGACTTTTAGTTATGATGAAGAGAGGTCCAATGGTTGTCCATTATGTAGGGCTCAAGTTGAGCAATTTCATTTTAAAATCAGTGATCAGGTGATTACTGTTGATCATCGTTTCCTTGGCAACTTGTCAGACGATGAACTTTTTGATTGGACCTCTCTTCATCTTAACTGTGGTTTCAGAAGAACCAAAGAACAAATAGATGTACCAGTTAAATATTTGCCAACAGGTTTTGGAGGCTATTGAAGCAATAAATTTTTTGTTTTGATTTTTGTTTTGTTTTTTTTTGGTTTTTTTGGTTTTTTTGTGTATTTTTGTTTTGCTTTTTTGTATTGCTATTTATATTGATTATGTGGGCCATGTTCTGCAGCTCTGGCCATTTTTTATCCACATTTCACTTGTGTACTTTGTTGCTTTCAAACTATTTATACCATTACACTGAAAATTACGGCTTCTGTTTGATTGGAGATTTTTAGTAACCGAAATCAAGCAAAAGTAATTTGCTATCCAAATAACTCATAATAAATAAAGACTAACTGAAAAAACACGGAATCACCGGTAAGTTTACCGTTTTGGTTGTAAAACACGCTCCGATTATGCCGATGGATCGTCTGACCTAGTACTAATAGTTTACGGATAAAATTTCTAACATTTTCAACCATCTTTTCTTTTTCATTGAATGTAAATGAAACTTAAAGTCAATTTGTTTCTTAAATATTTAATTTTTGATTTTCAGTATTTAATTATTATAATCATTTAGGAATAAATATACTCACTACTCGTAGCTAACAAATGCAATATTTTGTTTTGTATATATCAACATTTATGCTTTGAAGGGTGCCCAATACTCATTTCATTTATTGTGCGCGCAGTGAATAGACAACTACATGTATTTACCAATCGGTAGGGTAAAAAAGAACCTTTCGGGTCACTCTTTGTTCTTCCAGCTCTCTTTGAGAGTTTACAAGGTGTGCAAATCTAATTTCATTGTCACTCGAGCATTAGTTGGAAATTCGCTTGATATCTGATATATTAAATCGAAAGTGAAACAAATGCTGATCATTCTTTGACAAATCGTAATAGGCAAGCCAAGGAATTGAATAAAAATACAAGTTGTGATGAAAAATATTTATTAAAGTGGCACAACGACATCAGACAACTAAAGTGTTATACAACTAAAAGCGATAAACAACTTTAGTATATGAATATAATCAACCAGCAAGATTTACGTTACACTCAAGGGTCCAATGTTTACTGTGAATAGCATCAAAATTGATATATTTTCCATGATAAACTGCAAGAAAATAAATTCAGTTTTAATAGAAAACAATATTCGAATGAAACCTTACTAAAATTAAAAAGGTTTTCTCGAGAGTAATAAAGTCTCCTATTTTGACACCATTGTATGGTCCAGCAACTCGATCCATGATCTCAAAAACCTGAAGGAAAAATAAAACTCTTATAACAGCATTTCTATTCCCAAAAATTACTGCCAATTTTATTGTAATTCAATGAATAAATCATGCTTTACCTTGCTCATTGTATTTACTGAAAAATTGCCTTTAAAGGTTAGCCGGTGCAGTCTCACTGTTAACTTGTCGAGCTGTTAATGAAAATACAAGCAAAAATCAATATGAAATAAAATGCAAACGCATTGATCACCTCTTTGACTAGATATCCGAAAACAAGACCAAAAACTCCAAGAGCAATAAGAATAAAAACACCGATGATTGCAAGTAAATCTGCAAAAAAGTCACTGTAAGCACGAACAATAAGCCCAAGGAAAATGTCTGCATCACCTAATAACGAGTAGACAAAAACATAAAACAATACTATGTATCGTAACTTGCGAGAAGCCAGTTCAAATGTGTTAAGACGTTGGATAATCAGTAAACAAAATGATTGCATATCCTTTTCAGTGTAAAACATGCTTCGGTTCAAAAAAGTTTCCGCTGAATCGAGTAGATCGAACAACCGAAACAGATGAAATGAAAACGCACACAAAATGAACCAAGCAAATCCTAGAATTGAGTTTAATACGATAGTACCAACAAAAATAGACAAAAATGACCAGATAGTACCGAAAATAGCAAGTCCAGGAATCTTATATGTCCATGGATTGATCAGTAATGGTGTGGAAAACAAAAATGTTATAAAAATTGGAGCCGATATCACCATGTGATAGAAAATGACTGAGAAAGAATAAACGCAGAATCTGAATCTTTTGATGTTACGATTGTTCATACGTAAATTAATCAGGTTGAAACCATCTCGGTTATCCTTCCATATCGACAGTACTTCAAATTGCCCTTTAGCTTCGAGGTGTAATATCCATTCTCGGAAAGTAAACGCTAGTGCAATAGCAATAGCAAACAATGATAGAATGAGAACTCGATCTTTGCTGTGTAAAAATGAATCTCCAAGATAAATGGCAATATTTTCGTTGGTACTGAATATGAGTACAGTAAATCTGAATACAGTGGCTAGCGAAGTGATTGCTATTATCCAGTCTAGCAAGTTGAGTCGACGATAACCAAATGCATTTACAGTGGGAATGTTAGTTTGGTCCAAACCTCTACGGACAGCTTGAAAGGTAATCGCCAATCTTTCTGTTCGTCGAACTAAATCGCTAACTTTTCGGTCAAACTCTTTTGAATCAGGAATCGTGGTTAAATAAGAAAAAATTTGCTCCCAAAACTTCAAATAATATTTCAAATATTTCAAAAAGTAATTCAGCATTTTCTTGACACTTTTTTTATTTACAGTCAACATTTGCTTTCCATTGAATGAAAATGAAAAATAAAACTCAAAGTATCATCGATTCAAAAGTTAAATATTTTATTATCGATTTAAATTTTTAATTATTATCATCATTATGAAATAGTAGTAAATTTATTCACTACTTATAGCTGAGAAACGCAATATTTTTCCATGTGTTTATCAATATCTTGGTAGCAGCCAAATCAGTGGAGATGATCAATAATTTATAAAAATGGTTGAATATCATTATCAGTGTAACATTTCATGATGCTTGCTGAATAATGAGTCAGCCAAATGAGTAAACAAAGCAATTTAAAATTAAAGATGAAATGTAGACACAAAAAATACCAATCCTAGGATCGAAGGAAAAAAGGAATTATTAATAATAGCAAAGTGAAACTATTCAGATAGTACCAAAAAAGGTCAATCTTGGCGTCAATCCAAATTCTTAGCTAATTTACTAACTGTACTGTACTTTTACTATACTATGCATGAATGTATGTACAAAGGATACATAGTTTCATCTTCGATCTTTCAAGTTTCACTTGTATTATATTCAATAATAAATGTGTAGTTTGGCAATTTGTACTTTCTATGAAAAATGAATTCATGGATTGCCTGATCTTTTTGGAAAAACAATTAAAGCTAATTGCGATCATTTCGTTGTTTAAATCAATATTTGTATATTTTTCGAATTTAATTTTATTATTAACACAATTTAGACGTATTAAGACTAATTATTCGTCGATATAAGTGGTTATACACATCAACACTCATACATCTTTTCAATTCATCTCTTGATATTGGCCTTTGGTCTAAAAACTTTGAGCCTTAATACTTCGATAATGGTAGCATCTATTATAAAATGATCATTATTTGTCCCATCATGAAATTCACTGTAAATTAATAGGCAAGCAATAGAATGAATAAAAATACAAGTTGAGATGAGAAATATTTATTATAGTGGGACAACGGCATTAGAGTATTATAAAACCGCTTAACAGTTAAAGTTAGAATCAAATTGATTTTTATTGTTCAATCAGCAAGATTTACGTTACACTCAAGGGTCCAATGTTTACCGTAAATCGCATCAAAATTGATAAATTTTCCATAATAAACTAAAAGAAAATAAATTTAGTTTCAATAGAAAACAAGATTCGATTGGAATCTTACTAAAATGAAAAAGCGTTTCTCGAGAGTAAAAAAGTCTCCTATTTTGACACCATTGTATGGTCCAGCAACTCGATCCATGATCTCCATAACCTGAAAGGCAAAACTCATCAATATTGTGAATCTTTTAATAGCATTTCTATCCACATAAATTAATATCGCATTTTATTAAAATTCAATAAGTAAAATATACTTTACCTTAGACATTGTTTTCATTGCGGAAACATTCAGCAGCATCTGGCATCGAGCATGCCATCTCTATTCATTATTAATCTTTCAGGCATTGTAAGATTATTTTCATCTACTATAATAGTAGGGATACCGCCGTTTATTATAAAAGCTAAGAGCTGCGGTGCTCGTATAATCCGATAGCTGGAGACTTCGATAGACGCATCACAAACTTTGTCTGAAAAAGTTTGTCATAAGTTATAAACTTTTAGATCATTGTAATCCTATCATCTATTCATGAATCTTACCATTGAGCATACTCTTGCATTTCACATTTTTTGTGATAATGGCTGAATCTAAAATTTTCTGGAGGGAATGGATTCCTGATTGTCTTTTTATATCTAGGAGCCACTTGAATGAAAGAGAGTTTCTCTTCAATAATTGAATTTTCAGTTTTACCCTGAGAGCAGCTATACGATATTTCGAGTCCAATATAATTGAACTCAGAAAACGGATTCTGCAATCCCAATGATATGAATTCATAATTCACTGAAATGAATAAATCTTTATAAAAATCTCTAGGATCGTCGCCTATGAAATAAGAAAAATTATTGTTAGATTAAGAATATTTCATTAATCATTATATTAATTTATATTACCTGGAATTCCATTGTATCTCTTAGCTGCATCATGACAAGCATGAGCGCTCTATCAACGGCCGAATCTAACTTTGGACCCTCTGTCCGATTTATAATCGCCTACAAATCTTTTCCACTCAGCATATTTTTGGCTGAGACCAGTTGGCAGATGTTCCATCTCTATTGGACCAATTCCTGTGCCTTTTATAAAAAACTTGTAAAGCTCTTTGAGCCCGTAGAAAGTTTGATAATTTGCCCGGTTGATTTGCCGAAGCAGGATTTTGGAGCTAAAATGAACAAAATTAGACAAAATTCAAACTAAAATGACCTCATAGCTAATTAAGCTTTTAATAAAAATGTAAAATCTTTAATTAAATTTAATAGATGGAGTTAATTGTGAAAAGGCCGCGAAAATAAATCTAGATTAAGCATTTTATTGATACAGATTAAAGTTTTTTAATATACATTAATATACATTAATTCATTTCTAATTAAGATCCTTGCTTAACCGGATCCACCCTAAATAACAATGAATAAATTGATATTATTAAGCTTTAAAGTCCAGCTAAAGAAAATGTGAGTAAGTTAAACTGTCTTTCTGATAAACCTTTGATGCTAAAAAACCGGTTAATTCAACATGTGTAACCAGAAAACTATGGTAACCTATGAGTTACTAAAAATGTGTTACAAAAAAGTTTCCATTCCCAGTGAAATTATTTTCTCGCGGCTTACTGCATCAACTACTCTTGTAGCTATAATTAGGGCTCGAAATTTCTGCAATCTAATGCGATCAATGTGCATGAATTCGCGACATGTACATGAGTGAAAAATATGAATTTTGATTCTCATTTAATGATTATAATTGACTAGAATAGGTAACAGTTAAATGAATCTAATGCTCATAAAACAGCAATGTGAAATTAGAAATTTTCATAATTTGCGCTTCATGGTATGTTGCCATATGATGCTTCAATTCGCGTAAAATATTTCCATAGCTAAGTTGCTTTAACTTGCTCCTTGTTTCTGTTAACTATCATTATCTAATTCGATTATCTATAAGATTCGTGTATGAAACAAGTGCAAGCGTATTGACTGATTGCAATAGAAATGTCAGGATTCCGAAAAAGGTAAACATGATTCAACTATGATTAATTTGGATGACGAAGATTCTTGCAAATTAATGAATCAAGAATCAAAAATACGAGAAGATTCAACAGATTGAAGATGAAGTCGATAACTTCTATGTGTGCCTCTTGAAAGGTATCTTTTAATTTGCAAAAATGTTGAGTTTGCATTGCTTCGTTGCTTTCGTTGAATCACATCTGCTGTATCAGGCTCGTGATTATGTTCTGTTTTTGCATAAATTGCATTGTTGATTAGAGTAACTTTGCCTGGACAGTTTTCATGCAAGCATCTTCAGTAACTTCTTTAATTAATTTGTCGTTTTTTCTATGCACATATTGTTTAAACACAATAAATTTGCACCTTTGTTTGATTTTATGAACGAGTATGAGGATATGATGAGTTACAATTTGCTGATAACTAAACACTATGAAACTAATAAAAGACTGAAAAGTAGCCATTTGTCAAATTTTGAAATAGTTCATGTTGAAATGAAGCTAGTAAGTTTAATTAAAATCATTTAATCAGTTTAAACATGAAACTTTCAAATAGCTTAAATTGTATTCAGCCGTTTTGGACCTTGCTGTTTTGCCCTTAGCCAGTTTTAGATTAGCTCTATTGGGGCTTTACCATTGATTTTCAGTTTTTAATTATCATAATCATTTCGGAATAAATCTGCTCAATGCTCATAGATACGAAACGCAATATTTTTCTTTGTAATCATCAAAACAATATTCCAAGGGTAAAGTTGCCCAATACTAAATTATTTCATTGATAATAATCAAATTAAGCGCGTAGAATAGCAAAGGTATTGCAATACTTTATTTTGTTTTCGATTAACACATTACATTACCCGTTTTGATTTTTGATGATTTTCACTCGGAAACTTTGATTAAAGACTGAATTGAACAGTTTTAGTAAATGAATATAACCAACCAGCAAGATTTACGTTACACTCAAGGGTCTAATGTTTACCGTGAAAAGCATCAAAATTGATATATTTTCCAGGATAAACTAGAATGAAAAAATTTTTATTTTAATGCACATCAATCATCATTAAAAAACGTCTTACAATTATGAAGAAGGTTTTATCGACAGTAGTAAAGTCTCCAATTTTGACGCCATTGTATGGTCCAGCAACTCGGTCCATGATCTCCAAAACCTGAAGGAAAATTAAAACTCTTATGATATAATTTTATTTCTATTCACAAATCGCTGCCAATTTTATTGAAATTCAATGAATGCTTTACCTTGCTCATTGTATTTACTGAAAAATTGCCTTTAAATGTTAGCCGGTGCAGTCTCACTGTTAACTTGTCGAGCTATTAATGAAAATACAAAAACAAAATCAATATAAAATGAAATGCAAATGATTATTGATTACCTCTGTGATTAAATACCCAAAAAGAACACCAAAAACTCCAGGAGCAATAAGAATAGAAGTACCGATGGTTGCGAGTGAATCTGCGAAAATGTCATTGTAAGCACGAACGATAAGCCCAAGGAAAATGTCTCCATTACCTAACAACGAGTAGATAAAAACATAACACAACAGGACATATCTTAACTTGCGAGAAGCCAACTCAAAGCTATTGAGACGACTGATGATCAGTAAACAGAATAATTGGAAATCCTTTTCAGTGTATAACATGTTATAACTTCTGTTTAACAAAGTTTCGGCTGAATCTAGTAGATCGAGCAAACGAAACAGATGAAATGCAAACGCACACAAAATAAACCAAGCAAATCCTAGCACAGAGCTCAATAAGATAGTACTAACAAAGATGGTCAACAATAGCCAGATGGTACCGAAAATAGCAAATTCAGGAATCTTGTATGTCCAAGGATTGGTTAGTAAGGTTGTGACAAACAGAATCGACAGCATAATTGGAACCGATATCAGCATATTGTAGAAAATAATAGAGAAGAAATAAATGCAGAATCTAAATCTTTTGATATTACGACTGTTCATACGTAAATTAACTACTTTGAAACCATCTCGGCAATGTTTCCATATCGCAAGTACTTCGAATTGCCCTTTAGCCTCGAGGTGTAATATCCATTCTCGGCAACCAAACGCAAGTGAAAGGGCAATCGCAAGATATGATTCACAAAGAAATCGATCTTTGCCGTGAAGAAAGGTGTCACCAAGATAGATGGCAATAGTTTCGTTCGTACTGAATGTGAGCACAGCAAATCTGGATACAACGGCTAAAGAAGCAACTGCTATGATCCAGTCTACCATGTTAAATCGACGATATCCAAATTCATTCACAGTGGGAATGTTAGTTTGATCCAAACCCCTACGGACTACTTGATAGGTAATCGTCAACCTTTCACTTCGTCTTACTAAATCGCTAACTTTCTGGTCAAACTCATTCGTGTCAGGAATCGTGGTTAAATAAGAAAAAATGTGCTTCCAAAACTGCAAGTAATTCAAATACTTTGAAATATAGTTTTCCATTTTCATGCCACTTTTTGCATTTACAGTCAACATTTTCATTCCATTGAATCAAACTGAAGCTTGATGATCAAAATGAAACTTGGTAGCAACCAAATCAGTGGAGATAGTCAATGATTTATGACAAGGATTGAATATCATTATCAGTGTAACGTGTCATGGTCTTTGTTTATAATGATGAAATGTACACACAAGAAATATAAGCCAAATTCTAGGATCGAGTAAAAAGATAAGTAAGAAGGTAATGGCAAAGATAAGCGAAACTGTTCAGATACCAAAAAATGCCAATCTTTGAATCTTGTATGTCCAAGGATACTGTGAAAATTTTGAGCTAATGCACGATTATATTAGGTAACCAAGTAAGTTTTGATACTCTTGAAGTGTATTTATTTCAAACAATTAATTAATTTAGATAAATTATTCCGATTATTTTGATTTTTTGGGATAAATTAATGGTATGGTATTAATATAAAGGATACATAGTTTCATCTTCGATCTGTCAAGTTTCACTTGTAATTTTTATATTAAACAGCCTCGAAAGAAAGTTTGACATTTACAGTTATCATTAGCTTCACGCATATATCATCGTATCTAATGACAGTCAGAAAATCAATCTTAAACAGTATCTTAAGAGTGATAAAATTTACAATCAATGACAATCGATGGTCAAGCAGTTGAATGACAACGATATTGTTTGATATTGATTTGCTTATTGTCATTAGGTATCATGAGAATGGTATATGCGTGTACCTAATGGTAACTATGTTAAACTTTTCTTTCGAGGCTGCATAATTTAATAATGAATGTGAATTTGAACTTTCTAGGAAAAATAAATTCATGGATTGCCTGATCTTTTTGGAAAAACATTTAAAGCTGATTGCGATCATTTCGTTGATTCAATCAATAGTTATATATTTTTCGCATGTAATTTTCGCGCAGAACTTAATTATTAACATGTTTCAGACTTATTATTCGTCGATGAAAATGGTCGGTTCACATCAACAATCGAACACTTTTTTAAATCCATCAATCTCTTGATATTGGCCTTTGGTCTAAAAACTTTGAGCCTCAATACTTCGATAATGGTAGCATCTGAAATGATCATTATTTGACCAATCGTGCGATTTTACTGTAAATTAATAGGCAAGCAATAGATTGAATAAAAATACAAGTTGATGTGAAAAATATTTATTATAGTGGGACAACGGCATTAGAGTATTATAAAACCGCTTAACAGTTAAAGTTAGAATCAAATTGATTTTCATTGTTCAATCAGCAATATTTACGTTACACTCATGGGTCCAATGTTTACAGTGAATAGCATCAAAATTGATAAATTTTCCATGATAAACTAAAAGAAAATAAATTTAGTTTTAATAGAAAACAATATTCTCAAATCTTACTAAAATGAAAAAGCGTTTCTCAAGGGTAAAAAAGTCTCCTATTTTGAGTCCATTGTATGGTCCAGCAACTCGATCCATAATCTCCATAACCTGGAAGAAAGGTCAAAGGTCATCAATATTGTGAATCTTTTAATAGCATTTCTATCCTCATGTAATATCGCATTTTATTAAAACTCAATAAATAAAATATACTTTACCTTACTCATTGTTTTTACTGAAAATTTTCCCTTAAAAGTTAGCCGATGCAGTCTAATGGTTAACCTGTCGAGCTGTTGATAAAATACAAGCAAAAACCAATATAAAATCTAATGCAAGTTATTATTAGTTACCTCTGTGATTAAATATCCGAAAACAAAACCAAAAATTCCAAGAAAACCAAGAGTGAAAAGACCGAGGATTGCAAGTAAATCGGCAAAAAAGTCATTGTAAGCTCGAACAATAAGCCCAAGGAAAATGGCTACATCACCTAATAACGAGTAGACAAAAACATAACACGAGAAGATATATCTTAACTTGCGAGAAGCCAACTCAAAGCTATTGAGACGACTGATGATCAGTAAACAGAATAATTGAAAATCCTTTTCAGTGTAAAACATGCTTCTGTTTAACAAAGTTTCCGCTGAATCGAGTAGATCGAACAACCGAAACAGATGAAATGCAAGTACAGACAAAAACAACCAGGCAAATCCTAGGATGGAGTTGAATAAGAAAGCACCAACAAAGATGGCCAACAATAGCCAGCCAGTAGCGAAAAAAGCAAGTGCAGGAATCTTGTATGTCCATGGATTGATCAGTAATGGTGTGAAAAACAGAAATGACATAAAAATTGGAATCAATAGCATCATATAATAGATCATAACAGAGAGAAAATAAATGCAGAATCTGAATCTTTTGATATTACGATTATTCATACGCAAGTTGACCAGGTTGAAACCATCTCGGTTATCCTTCCATATCGATAGTACTTCAAATTTTCCTTTAGCCTCGAGGTGTAATATCCATTCTCTGAAAGCAAACGCTAGTGAAGTGGAAATTGCAAACAATGATAGAATGAGAGCTCGATCTTCGCTGTGAAAAAAAGAGTCACCAAGATAAATGGCAATAGTTTCGTTGGTATTGAATATGAGTACAGTATATCTGAATATAGTGGCCACCGAAGTTATTGCTATGATCCAGTCTAGCAAGTTAAGTCGACGATAACCAAATTCATTTACAGTGGGAATGTTAGTTTGATTCAAACCTCTACGGACTGCTTGAAAGGCAATTGCCAATCTTTCTGTTCGTCTCACTAAATCGCTAACTTTCTGGTCAAACTCATTCGAATCAGGAATTGTAGTTAAATAAGAAAAAATTTGTCTCCAATACTTCAAGTACTTCAAATATTTAAAAAAGTAGTTCAGCATTTTCTCGACACTTTTAGCATTACACTCAACATTTGTTTTCATTGAATTAAAATGAAAATGTAAAATGAAACTTACAAGTTACAGACTTACGAGGTTCCCTTGTTAGAGTATCTTCGATTTAAATCTTAAATATTTCACTATTGCTTTTCAATTTGCAATCATCATAAGGGTTATGAAATAAATGTGTTCACTACTCATAGATGAGAAACGCAATGTTTTCCATGTATTTATCAATATTTAATTTGCCTGAAGAATCAAGGTGCATGAATCACCATTAAAGTGTTTACTTTCAAAATGAGACAAAAATTGTTCTTATAATTTTTGCCTTAAAAACAATAAAAAAACACAAGTTTTAGATCGAGATGAAAATCAAAAGATAAATTGTTACTATATTTTACCAGAAAAACAATCCAATGGCTAATTTCATCACCAACAATCAAAACAACCATGATCAGTGGTTAGGTACGAAGCAAATCATATTATATTTTAAATCAATACTCAATAAAACTCGAGTTTCATTTTAATTATTTTATAATTTAATAATAAATGCAGTTTCGAAATTGAAGCTTTCTATGAAAAATGCATATTTTGATTGATTTCTGGTCTTTTTTCAAAAACAATTAAAGCTATCATTTCGTTGATTAATGCAAATCCTTGGTTTCTTTCTCCAATCTACTTTTCGGTTACAGTCTAGTTACACGGACAAAAGGAGGAGCGTTAATTTAACACACGATTTAAACCAATCACAGTAAACACGCTCATGTATTGTTTTTAATAATTTTTACATAAAAATAATAGTTCAACTGAGATTCAATTGTTGAATTAGTGGACAAACAAATTGACCAGCAAGCCACTTCAGAATCAGCTTTATTAATAATATCTTTCTCTGTTGAATTATTCTCAATTTTTACATTTTATTATGTTACTTCCAATGATATTAAATTCAAACAGATTGTCTTGATTAGTCACTGATTTAAAAATCTTGGTAGTAACGCCTTTTGTTCGTGTAACTAGACTGTTACCAATTGAACAGATTGGGTTGTCTATTTACCAATTGGTGGGGTGGAAAAAAAACCTTCCAGGTGACTCTTTGCTCTTCCAGCTCTTCTTGGGGCTTACAAGGTGAAAAAATCTAATTGTTCATCACATTATGTTCATTCTTTGATAAATCGTAGTAGGCAAGCCATAGATTGGATAAAATTTTCGATAAAAGTAAGTCAGCCAAGTGGAGTAAATCAATCAATTTAAAGAGATGAAATGTAAGCACACTCAAAATGATCCATCTCAATCCAAGTAGCGTGTTAAGAAGGTAAATAATAGTAAAGATACTCATATTCAAACTCATTTGAATCAAGAATTGATTTAAAATAAAAAAAATTGCTTCACTTTTTCTTCATAAAAGTCTTTTATTAATACAAATAGTTTACGGATAAAACTTTTAACATTTTCAGCAATCGTTTGTCTTGTGACGATGAAAATTAAATTTAAAGTTTATTCAATTTGTTTCTTAAATTGAAACTCCTATTGATTTTCAGTTTCTAATTACCATAGTCATTTCGGAATAAATCTGCTCAATACTCATAGATAAGAAACGCAATAATTTGTATACATCAATATTTATTTGCCCAATACTAATCACTTTATGATCATTCTTTGACAAATCGTAATAGGCAAACAATGGATTGAATAAAAATAAAATTTGAAGTGAAAATATTCTTTTTAGTGGCACAACGACATCAGAGATTTTTAACACTGTAATCGGAAAAAGCTTTAGTAAATGAACACAACCAACCGGCGAGATTTACCGGTAATGGTAATGTTTTAGTGAACAATTTCATTACCGGTAGGTTGCACTCAAGGGTCTAATGTTCACCGTGAATAGCATCAAAATTGATATATTTTCCAGGATGAACTGAAAGAAACAATTTTTATTTTAATGCACATCAATAATCATTGAAATATGTCTTACCAATATGAAGAAGGTTTTATCGACAGTAGTAAAGTCTCCAATTTTGACGCCATTGTATGGCCCAGCAACTCGATCCATGATCTCCATAACCTGAAGGAAAATTAAAACTCTTATAATATAATTTCATTTCCATTCTCAAAATCGCTGCCAATTTTATTGAAATTCAATGAATTAATTACCTTGCTCATTGTTTTAACTGAAAAATTGCCTTTAGAGGTTAGCCGGTGCAGTCTCACTGTTAACTTGTCGAGCTGTTAATGAAAATACAAACAAAAATCAAAATATGAAATAAAATGCAAATGATTGTTGATTACCTCTGTGATTAAATACCCGAAAACAAGACCAAAGACTCCAGGAGCAATAAGAATAAAAGTACCGATGATTGCGAGTAAATCTGCAAAAATGTCACTGTAAGATCGCACGATAAGCCCAAGGAAAATGTCTCCATTACCTAATAACGAGTAGACAAAAGTGTAACACAACAAGACATATTTTAACTTGCGAGAAGCCAACTCAAAGCTATTGAGACGTCTGATGATCAGTAAACAAAATGATTGAATATGCTTTTCAGTGTATAACATGCTTCTGTTCAACAAAATTTCAGCTGAATCGAGTAAATCGAGCAACTGAAACAGATGAAATGCAAACGCACACAAAATAAACCAGGCAAATCCTAGGACAGAGCTCAACAAGATTGTACTAACAAAGATCGTCAACAATAACCAGATAATACCGAAAATAGCAAATTCAGGAATCTTGTATGTCCAAGGATTGATCAGTAATGCTGTGAAAAACAGAACCGACACAATAATCGGAACCGATATCAGCATATTGTAGAAAATAACAGAGAAAAAATAAATGCTGGATCTAAATCTTTTGATATTACGATTATTCATTCGTAAATTAACTGCTTTGAAACCATCTCGGCAATGTTTCCATATCGAGAGTACTTCGAATTCCCCTTTTGCCTCGAGGTGTAATATCCATTCTCGGCAAGTAAACGCAATTGAAATGGCAAAGGCAAAATATGATTCACAAAGAAATCGATCTTTACCGTGAAGAAAGGTATCACCAAGATAAATGGCAATAGTTTCGTTGGTGTTGAATATCAGTACAGTAAATCTAAATACAACAGCTAAAGAAGCAACTGCTATGATCCAGTCTACCATGTTAAATCGACGATAACCAGATTCATTTACAGTTGGAATGTTAGTTTGATTTAAACCTTTACGGACAACTTGAAAGGTAATCGCCAATCTTTCTGTTCGTCTTACTAAACCGCTAACTTTCTGGTCAAACTCATTTGAATCAGGAATTGTGGTTAAATACAAAAAAACTTGCTTCCAAAACTGCAAGGACGTCAAATACTTTAAAATAAAGTTTTGCTTTTTCTTATCACTTTTTTCATTTTCAGTCATTTTCTTTCCATTGAATCAAACTGAAGCTTGATGATCAAAATGAAACTTGGTAGCAGTCAAATCAGTGGAGATGATCAATGATTTATGGATAAGATTGAATATCATTATAACGTGTCATGATGTTTGTTACATTATGATTCAGTCAAATAAAGTATATCAAGCAATCTAAATTGATGAACACACAAGAAATTCAAGGCGAATCCTAGGATCGAGTAGAAAGGTAATAGCTAAGATAAGTGAAACTTGACAGATACCAAAAATGCCAATATTTGAATCTTGCATGTCCAAGGATACTGTGCAAATTTCAAGTCAATGCACGATTATTTAAAGTGAAACCGTTGTTAAAAACAATGGTCAAAAGGGGCAATGACAAAAATGAGGTTAAAGTAAAAGAAGCAAAGAAACTTACTCTTTAAGTCAGTTTATGGCCTTTGCTAATGTTTTATTACTTATTTCCTGAGTTTACAATGGTCAAGTTGGACCCTTATATGTCCAACTTTGAGTTACAAAAGTTTCAGTTTTAATTGAATTTTCATAAAAAAGAGGTTCAAAATTAATGTTTATAATGATAAAAATATTTGCATAAAAAAGCGCGTGAAAAACTGGTCAGAAATGTCTGTTTAGTTTATGCATTAAGTGTGTAGAAAATATATTGAAAAAGAAAGAGAAAAAGAAAGAGAATATGAGAAGAAAGAGGAGAAAGAGAAACGAGTATTTGCGATCCTTTACACTCTCCCCGAGTTATTGAGTTTGTTGCCGTTCAACAAACGGTTTAAGCTGGCTTGCATGTGCACGATAAGTTGGCCCAGAGAGGGTTTCCGATATTTCGAAAGTGACATCAGTAATTTTTGCTGTAATGTAGTAAGGACCAGTGAATTTTGGTGAAATTTTGGTAACTGATGGATGATTGTCAGCTATTTCTCTCAAAACTCTTTGACCAACAAAGAAATCAGACTCCGGGTGTTTGGCATCATGTCTTTCCTTGCGTTTCTCCTGAGCCTTCCTTGTCCTTTCCTTTGCTCTTTGTCTCGCTGTGTGTAAGTCGTCGTTGTTTGTTATCAGAGATGGATAGTTATCATTGCCGAAAAACAAGTAATTGGGTGAGTAACCAGTAATATCATGGGGAGTGTTGTTATAATTTTTAACAACATCGGGTAAAAGTGTGTTCCATTTTCGTCTTGGATTATCTTGAATAGCTGCTCTCAATTTGGTGATAAGAGTACCATTTAATCTTTCAACTATACCATTAGTTTGAGGATGGTAAGGTGTCGATCTAATATGTTTTATGTTATGTCGCTTCAGACATAGTTTCATTGATTTGCTATTGAAATTTTTATGACAATCGGTCAGAATGCATTTGATACGAATACCAGTGTGTATCAGTTTGTCAATCAAAGTTGTTATTGCTTCTGAAGTGTTGCTTTTTGTTGGAAAAGCCCAGACAAAGCGTGAGAAATGGTCGATGAAAACCTGGATGTACTTATGTCTGGTGCTACCAGCTGCTGGGCCAAGAACGACTGTATCAAGTCCAATCAAATCTCCTGGTTCAAGTTCAGCACTAGGTAAAATCATTTGACCAATTTTTGGTTGATGATTGACTTTGACAAGCTGACACGTCTTACAAGAGGAAACATATTGTCGGATTTCTTGTATAGCATCGGGCCACCAATAGAATTGTGTGATCAGTTTTACGGTTTTGTTTTTACCAGGATGACTGTGATTGTCGTGATATTTTCGAAGTAATTCCATTTTGAGGTCCTTTGGTACCACGATTTTCGTTTGGTTTCTACATTTTACCATCATAATGCCGTCTTTCACTATCGGCTTTTGAATTTCAGTTGTGTCTATGTTTTGTTGATGCTTCTTGAGTTCTTCAATGTCTAAATGTAAAGTTACTGGCGAGCGTGAAAGAGCGTCAACGTGTTGTTGATTCTTTCCTGCTCGATGTATTAGCTCGTATGTTAATGTTGATAGTCTTATGCTCCATCGATAAAGACGTCCTTTTGGTTTCTTCAGTGAAAGTAACCAACGAAGAGCACTATGATCAGTTATTACTTTGAATGGTAAACTGAGATAAACTTCAAAGTGTTCAACAGCTTCAACGACGGCCAGACATTCAAGTTCAAAAGCGGTGTAGTTTGCTTGGTGTTCATTCAGCGTTTTGGAAAAGTATGCGATTGGATGCTCGAGACCCTCATCGTCAATTTGTGCAAGTGTTGCACCGATACCGATTGCAGATGCATCAGTGTATAAAATACAGGGCTTATCTTTGTTGTAGATGCTTATAACCGGTGGTTGAGTTAGAGCTCTCTTAAGTGTGTTGAAAGCTTCTTCTTGTTTCTGATTCCAATGGAATTGCTGGTTTTTCTTAAGGAGAGTTGTTAGAGGCTTACTGATCACGGCGAAATTGTGAATGAAACGTCGATAGTAATTTGCCAGTCCTAAGAATTGCCTTAGAGTTTTCAAATTGTGAGGTGTTGGGAATTCGGAAACAGCTTGTACTTTTCTTTCACATGGTTTAACACCGTAAGGACCAATCATGTACCCAAGATACTCTACTTCGGTCTTGACAAAATGGCATTTACTTAATTTCAGTTTGATGTTATTGAGCTTGAGCTTATCTAGCACTTTAGATAATAGGTTGATGTGGTCTTCGAATGTTTCACTGTAGATGATGATATCGTCGAGGTAATTGATAGCGCCATTGTAAAGTAAAGGTCCAAGGACTCGTTGAATGATTCTCTGGAAGGTCGCTGGTGCATTTTTAAGTCCAAAAGGCATGACCATCCATTCATAATGACCTTCATGAGTGATGAAGGCAGTCTTCTCGATTGAGTCTGGGTCAACTTCTATGTGCCAATAGCCCCAAGCAACGTCAAGTGTTGTGAAGTATTTGCTTCCTTGAAGTCGATCGATGACATCGTTGATTCTGGGTAATGGCATTTTGTCGTCTATTGTTATGCTATTGAGTCGACGATAGTCAATACAGAGTCGAAAGTCACCATCCTTCTTTTTAACTAGCGTTACAGGGAACGCCCAAGGGCTTTCACTGTCTCTAATGAGACCCTTTTCTTTCAATTCACGGATTTGTCTTGATATTTCGTCGTATTCGGACTGCGGTCTTCTGTATGCTCGTAATTGAATCGGTGGATGATTGACTGTAGTGATATGATGTTTTGCTACTGATATTCGTCCAATATCAGTCTCATTTTGGGCAAATACTGGTTTGAAGGCTTTCAAAAGCTGTGTTAGTTCATGTTTCTTTGATGACTCGATCATCAATAGAGTGCTGTGTTTATTGTTGTTGGTCATGACAGCCTTTTTCTCCCGTAGATCAAGTTTAATGTTGAACTGTCTACCAATATCTAGACCAATTAGCACGGGATAATTGAATTGTTTCAAGACATGAAACCTTGCTGGCTTAGATATTGAATGTATGTTAATGATGACATCAACATGTCCCAGACTACGAGTAACACCTTCAACTTGGTTAATTACGATCGGGTTCTTGGTATTGAGTCTTAAACCAAGGCTTCTACATAATTTATCACTTATGATGCTAATAGAGCTGCCAGTGTCTATGAAGGCTGTTTGGATTGTTCCATTAATCTTAACTGGTATGTTGATGAATTTGAAGATTGGACCGCGACTTGCCATTAAAGTAACACCATTGTTATCATCAGTCTCTGCAGTTAATGTGGTCGATTGATTTTGTTCTGGTTTATTTGGACAATCCTTGTGCCAATGGAACTCCCGTTTACCAAGTCGTTGACAATGTCTGCAAGGAGCAGGCGGTTTTGAATTAAATGAACCAGAGCGTCTGAAGTTTGATTGTGAACCAGATTGATGATGAGAAGGAGTTGCTACCAACGTTCTAGTGGTTTTCTTCTCGAACTGCTGTTTACGTGTTGCAGCAAGCTTGAAATGTGACTCACACATGCGTGCAACATTGATCCAGGCTGAGGCATTAACTGGATTAGAGGCAGTCAAGGTTAACTTCCAAGAAATTGGGAGACCTTCTGTTAATTGCTGGATGATCTCTTGTTCTGAGAGATCTGTTTGGCGAAGGAGACGTATTTTCTCCTGATAATATGTCTCAACAGTTTCGTCTCGTTTGAGATATCTGCGTTGAGCATCAATGAGAGGCGCTGCTGATGACGTACCAAAGCGGGCGATCATACGTTCTTTAATGGTTGACCAATGAGGAAGTGTGGATGTAGCGATTTCATCACCAAACCATTCAAGAGCAGTTCCCTTCAAAGCGTAAATGAGGTTTTTAGCTTTAGTTGGGCCATCTTGAGTGGCAGTGTGAAGTTCGTAAATTTTTAGCCATGTCTGAATACGTATGTCATCTTTAGTACCTCCATACTTATCAATGCGTGGTTCATGATGCGAGTTTTCCATTGTTTGAACTATTGTGCCGTTGCTTGAGTTACTATTTGCAGTGTTGCTGCGATTGCGGGTCATATTAGATTTAAGATAACGTCTTTATTTAGAAGAATGAATTTTATTAGAGATTGAATACAACTTTGTGCATATAATCGACAGGGTCAGGGAGAGTAACAGTTTTCTTTTTGAGATCAGCTTGAATCGCTTTGTAATTTAGAGCACGATTAGCAAGTGTTGCTGCTTTGTTGAGTAGTTGGCGTGATTCTTGGCGATGTTGAAGGTTATGAAATACTTGTTTATGTTCCTGGGATGATGAGAACCAATCGGCTGGAATAGCTTCTTTGATTTCTGAAGCTTCTTTAGCTTTACCAATACCT